TTTCTGTATCATTGCCACCTTGGACCCATGGCTATTCGTGGCTGGCTCTGACCACAGATTTTCGAAGGCCCTGATAAGATCTGATAAGCACAGCACTTGCAAGCAACTCTTCTGCTGCAGCTTCTACCTGCATCATCTGCATCTGATCAACCTCTATGCCTCTCTTCACTACAAGGAGAACGCACATGCCAAGTGCAATGATCAACATCGAGTAGCAAATGCCTATTTTAATTTTCGTCTATGTTCAGGCAGGTAGGTAAATATCCCCAAAGAAGGACCTTGTACATACCCTGCAAGTAAAAACTATGTAACCCTATCACCCTAAGAAACTTTCCAATCTCGGCTGAAGATGAAACGCCAAGTATCACCAAATCCAATCGAAAAAATAGAAACATCATGTATCAAGTAAACTGATCTAAACGTTCTAAACCTCTGATCAGCAGCGGTCGGAAGGAGCTAGGTAAGAGATGGTCGGTTAGAGGCTAGAGCGGCTAGAGGCAAAGCAAACACAAATTCAGTACTGTATACATTGTATAGCCCTTCTGAAGGCCAACCTTTTGTGGTACACAGTACCAGGCGCCTTGCTTGAACCGTCTGGAACATAAACAAAAACACATCACATCCGAAACATATTTCCCAAAATCAATCGATGCGAACATAAGGGCTATACCAACCTGATCCAATCACACGAATCTGCTCGGGATACTACTGGATTCTGTTACAGTCGCAAGTCACAACCTGACGCTCTTGCATTCTCTTGCTGCGAGTATAACTTGGAAGCTTTTGAAGCTCAAGTTGTAACATGGGGTAATGTTCGGGCAACATGATGTAACATGATTTCCACCTCGCTCACTGCCTTGGAGCTGGTTTCCTCAGTTCCGTTGTCATATTCGAGTTCTGAGAGGTGGGCAGCTGATGCAATCACGAGAGCATAAAATAACAAAAACAATGACGGGAACACATTTATATCATATTTATATCTAAAGATGTTTTTTTAATCATTTTGTAAAGGTTTTAAATGCAGCAGTGTATCCCAGCGACGTAAGGACGAGCTGAGATTCTGCCACCTCGGCAGGCCACTTCCACAAGAAGTGGACGCAGTGATACCAACAGCAACAAACTGAAAAAGAATGAAAACAATGATGATATCTTGACGTGGATGGCGGCCACTCGTAGCGCCACCGAAAAAGAATGAAAAAGAATTACTTTACTTCGTGTGATCCCCACCATGACATTTATACATTTTGTTACTGGCAAATCTTCTGGCATTCCATCTGACATTTTATCTGGCATTCTATCTGGCATACCTTCTGGCATTCTATCTGGCATATCTTCTGGCATTCTATCTGGCATTCTATCTGGCATATCTTCTGGCATATGTTCTGGCATATCTTCTGGCATATCTTCTGGCATTCTATCTGGCAAATCTTCTGGCATTATCTGGCATATCTTCTGGCATTCTATCTGACATATCTTCTGGCATTCGATCCGGCATTCTATCTGGCATATCTTCTGGCATATAGTCAGGCATATCTTCTGGCATATCTTCTGGCATTCTATCTGGCATATCTTCTGGCAGATGTTCTGGCATATCTTCTGGCATATTATCTGGCAAATCTTCTGGCATTCTATCTGGCATATCTTCTGGCATATTATCTGGCAAATCTTCTGGGATTCTATCTGGCATATCTAGTGGCAGTCTATCTGATATTTTATCTGGCATTCTATTTGGCATACCTTCTGGCATTCTATCTGGCATATCTTCTGGCATTCTATCTGGTATATCTTCTGACATTCTATATGGCATATCTTCTGGCATTCTATTCGGCATATCTCATGGCATTTTATCTGGCATATCTTCTGGCATTCCATGTGACATTCTATCTGGCATATCTTCTGGCATTCTATCTGCCCGTTGAGGTCCAGCAGTGCACACTGAGCTGGGAAGGTCCCCGGTTGAGGTCCAGCGGTGCACACTGAGCTGGGCAGATCCCAGGTTGAGGTCCAGCGGTGCACACTGGGCTGGGCAGGTCCCAGGTTGAGGTCCAGCGGTGCACACTGAGCTGACACGGTCCCTGGTTCAGGTCCAGCGGTGCACACTGAGCTGGCAAGGTCCCACATTGAAGTCCACCGGTGCACACTGAGCTGGGAAGGTCCCAGGTTGAGGTCCAGCGGTGCACACTGAGCTGGGCAGGTCCCAGGTTGAGGTCCCAGTGCACACTGAGCTGGGAAGTTGGCAAAGAGCTTGGCGAAGAGAGTTGGCAAAGAGCTTGGCGAAGAGAGTTGGCAAAGAGCTTGGCGAAGAGTTGGCAAGGCGGAAGTGGAGGTGGAAGTTGATGCAGACATGGTCGAGGAGAAACTAGAGGAGGAGGAGGAGGACAGCTAGCCGAGGAGGAGGAGAACAACTCTGATAAAATCTAACAACCCTCACCTGGCAGGTGGGGAATGAGAAAGAGTCAAAGTTTCAGTCAAAGGAAGCAAAGAATCTAAGGATGCGGCCCCATTTCTAGCGGTCCAAGAAGTTCAACAAATCCATCCAAGAGTAATATTTTAAAAACTGAACAAGTTCTCACACTTTCGCAAAAAGATGAAAAACACCTTTTGCCCCCGACCACTGCCGTTTTGATGTTTGATCCGTGACACCGTGACAATGTTCATGGCCCTGGTTGGTCTGTGTGACTTTTGGGCATGCGCCCTTGCAGCAAGCAAGCAGGCCAGATTTTTTCCGTATTGGAGGATCAACTCTCAATTAGCAGCAATACAAACATCATCAAATAGTATCAAACTTATCAAACAATCATTGCTGCTGGCCCCAAGCGTACAGGGAATGCAATCTTTTTACTTCTGCAGTCTTCCTGTCTTGTTCAGATCTCTCCGAGGTAGATGTCAAAAGCCTTGAAGTCCTGCAAAGGAAAACACTCTATGACACCAACTTGTGTTCATGTGAAATTCATGAAATTGGTTTGCTGATTGATGCCGATTCCCACACGCACAAACGATGGCGAACACACGTCAAACCACTGCCTTGTTTTATCATCCCCCTGCGAATTCCATGGGTTACTCGCGGGCTCGAGCTTTGTAACCACAAATCAGGTATCAGGTCATTTTTAGCCTCTACAAAGTTGAAACAGGGGACCCATCATAGAATGTAAAACCTTACAAAGCTCGAGCCCCCAGGTTGCTCTATGACAGGTGTTTTTTCCACAAAATAAGGCTTTACAAAGTTAGGATTCATTTATGTTGCAAAAAAGATGCCAGATCAGCATTAGGTCTTGAAGCTCAAAAACCCCAAAATCCTATTTTTTTTGAGCTTTGTAAAGCCCACGTGGTTTCACAACATTCGCACATTTTTTCAAGTTATCCCAACCTCACCGCCAGCGGGCAGCACACATGTTCTGGTATCTTTTATGCGTTTGCCCCCAAGTTTTTGGTTTGAAATTGTTTCAGATTGTTTCTGCACAACTCACATCAGCTCATCTCTCACTTGTTTACCTCACTTTTTTTCACTCTTCTTTTCCTTTGGCTCATCATCTTTCTACACCTACAAACCTCAACCTGTTTACTCCTGCAGACAGACCCACTCCCACTACAAATTTCAAATGGTGAAAATATTAAATCTCTTTGGGTTACAAACTTGAAAATGATTGAAAATCAGAAGGGTCTGGCTCTACAAAGCTAGACATAGATTATTATGTTTTTACAAATTTTCACATCAGGCTCAAAAACACCCTCTACAAAGTTAGGATTCATTTATGTTGAAAAAATGTTAATTTAGCATCAATGTCAGAGCATGAGATCCAAGTGCTTGCACAAAACTTGGTGGTTTTGGGAGCCCGAGCTCCTAGCTTTGTAGGGGTTATTGCCGGGGTGATGTTTTAGTCATCTTTCACTCAATCAATTTTCTGCAGTGTGCTGTTAAACTGTTATTGTGTTCAGATGTTGTTGGCTTCCCAAAAATAGTTTCAGCAAATCTATCAACCAACGCATTTCAACACATCTTATTTCGCACAAAAGTAATGGAACTATAGTGAGTGACGGCCAGTAAGAAGACTTTGTTCTGCTTGCAGCTCTTTTCGGCAATATCAGGCAAATAAGAAATGCATATAAATGGGGCATCTAGAAAACGACCCCCAGCGGGCAGATTCTCAGAAAGTGCGCATGGATTGTGAATCTGCTTACTGCAGCTGCTACTCTGATTACTCTGGTGACCGCCTCTTCCAGGCTCAAATGACTACCCTTTGCTTGCTTTGCCTGCAAACCAAAATATGCCATGTGGATCCATGTGGGTCAATAGTTAAAAATCATGCCCGCCACATGAAAATGACCCAACTGCAGTAAGCAGATTCATAGAATCTGCGTACTGGTGGTGCAGTGGTGCATGTCGCAATATGTCGCAATGTCATTACATGTCATTACTAATGTGGGCCCAGGGCTAATCACCTCCACCCCCATCAGTAAGGCAACCTTTTCCGCGAAGAAACTGCCCAACAATCAATTCAATTGCATCGGTTAAATGGTTTTTTCCCGACAATGTGTCGCCCACCAACCAATTAGTAAAACCCACCAACGACGACAAATATTCTCGTGAAAATTCACGCCGAATAAATACCTTTTGCACCGAAATTCCTCCAATCGTGTGTCATTCTGCTTGCTTTGTCTGCAAGACTGCAAAACATGCCATGTGGATATGATCTATGCACACAGGTATGGATTGCATCGCAGCCGAAGCAAACATATCCTTGTATTTGTATGAGCAGGGAGCCTAGCGTTTCGTGAAGAAGCGAGGATTTTTTTCCAGTGCGAAGCAGATTTCCTGCAAGTGTGTTAGGGGGCAGTGGGCAGAAATAAATTTCAGTACCGGTTACTGTGAACCCCCCAGATAGGAATCTGCTTACCACTAGGCTAGGGAGGAAATCTGCTTACTGAGTTCACTGCTATAATTCCCAGCAGATGCCTGAGTCCGCTTCTGAAGGCGCTCTCTGAAGTCTTGGAATCCTGGTCGCTGTTCACCTGACCAAGCAACCTCTGCCAGAGCACATCCACGTGGCCAAGCCATATAATCCAAATTTCGAGCACCTTGACGAATGTACCTTGCAACATCTCTCAATGTTCTGCTGTGGCCCTAGCTCACCCATTTCTTTCACTTCCTTTCCCTGCTAACATTCATTGGTACCCGAATCCCTCAACCTGCTCACCAGTTTCACCTTTGATATCCTTGTACAACTTGTGTGTTTGGTCACCGTGCGACAGACCAAAAGGAGTGTCCCTAGAGACCCAACAAACAGTTTCAAGAAGCAGCAGGTAGATGTCATTCACATGGGTTCTGGGTGAGAGGGCAAATCGAACACATGAGGTTTACCAAGTCACCACAGTATATACACGTGATGATGTGTATACATTACACTACGTTAAGTATTGTTAAGTTACCCTACATCAAATTGTATCTGTGGATGATTAAGTGGTCTTACGCTTGAAACCGAGAAGTGTAACAGGTTTTCTTTTGGAGTTGAGAAGAATATAGAAGAATAGCATGGCCCAGCTCAAGGTGATCGAGCTTCTGGTGCGACTACAACTCCACTCCGGGGGAATGGTCATGGTTTGGACCCGATGTCAACTCCGGTACAAGGAGATCGCGGTGGCGCTGTGGCCAATGGGATCCAGGGCCGAGACGTCTTCGAGGGAGAGATGATCAGCGATGGCATCTGGATCACTTGGATCCCTTTAAGCTGGAGTTGGTCAACAGCATAGCGCTTTGATGCTCAAACATGTGGCACTGTGGGTGAAATCGTGAAATCGGATGAGTGCCGAGTTACAACAAGGGTCCCCAGGGTGCCAACTGGGTTCTTAATGGAATCGCCAGAGGATCCCAAGGAATATTTGGATGATGATGATGATGATGATGATGAGACTGAGATCTGTCCAAGCTTCTTCAGTTCGTTGGGAAGGAGGTCTGGTCTATTTTGCCTTTGACCAAGGCCAAACAGGGCACCGCAGGCGGAAACCTACGGGTATCGTCACCAATCTTCCGGAGATGTCTCAATTGTCGGGGCTCAGGATTCAAGGTGGCCTCGGTGAGATGATTTTGGCTTCAAAGCAGTTGTCAAGGAGTCCCTCAAGATGTATCTGCGTGTGGTGGATGGCGATGGAGCTGAAGTTCAAAGCAGATCCCCAATTGCGGAAGATCGACATGGCGGCCTGGAGAAAGCAAGAGACAGCAGCATGTGCCGTTTCGGAAGGACTGCCGGGTCTGCTTGGAGTCAATGGGAACTACGTATCCTCATCGAAGAAGCAACGGTACCTTCTTCCTTCACTATGTCTGTGGATTTGTCAGGGCCTTACCAGGCTGGTCGAGATCTGGATACGGGGAAGTCTTGCCAGTTCAGGTTGTTCCAGTTCCAGTACTGCATGAGCTTCCAGTGGCCCATGTACTTCCTGATCTTCGACCGGAGGATGTTGAAGAGGCTCCTGAACTTCCAGAAGAAGAATCCAAAGAGCATGCGGAGGAGGTGGGACAGGATGATGTGAATGGCTTGAATGAAAAGGCGAACATTGAGGAGATGGCTGAGCCGGCATCGGTTCAAAACATCACGTTGGTGGAGCTTGTCCAATATCGCCATGTGGACCATCTGGTGGCAGCGATGCCAAAACTGCACACCAAGTACCGGATGCTGGGCATCAATGCCATGCGGCTGCACTCTGACCGAGAACGGGCTTTTTTGATCATTCTTGCACGTCAAGCTGCAGAAGTGGTGTGAACAGCGCCAGTTGGTCCAAACGGTGACTTCAGGGGATGACCCTGCAGGAAACGGCCCGATGCAAAATTGAGGTGGGACAGTTGAAAAGACGTCACCAGGTGTGCCTCGCACTCAGCCTGACACTTTGATATGGACAACAGACAAGGAGCGAGCTTGGAACATGCCCCGTCAGATCGGAAGATCGAGCGGAAGTGGAAGAAGAGCTCAAGTTGATGCTATTAACTTGGAGCTGCAGCCTTTGCGTCGATGAGGACTGGACAGGTCTCAAGAGATGGATCCAGCTCTCTTGGAAGCTGATCGGTGGCGGTTCTGGTGGCTACTGTGGCCCTCCATCCTCTATAGCCTCGGCATCTTCAGCAGCGCCGGTGGAACGAATTGCAGGTTCACACATCGAGGGTCTACGGCTTCGGATGAGTCAGCTTTGTGCCGGCGTGGACATCAAGTTTTCCGGGGGGCAGCCAGGTGGATGGTCGGATGGGCCCACGTTGAGCCTCAGGGTGGGAGATCTCGAGTCTGTGGCTCTCAGAGCTCTCCAAGCTCCGGTTCTTCCTCCTCTTCACCCGGGACGTCCAACAGAAGTGGGACTTTCTCCATGGCGCGACCGTGGAGGATGGAACTGTGATGAAGATCAGTACTACGAGGAGGCGGTTGAGTCTGAGGAGGAGGCCAGCGATGGCAGCTGGTCACGAACCCTCCGCGTGCCAGCCCAGAGGATGAGTCCGCTGAGACATGTGAGCCGAGTATAGCTCCTGTTTGGAATGGCTCGAAGTAGCCGTGGAAATTTTGGTCTAAGGACCGACTTGGCATTTCTTGGTTGCTGTTCAACAGCAAGGGGGAGTGTGGATGATTAAGGCGTCCTACACTTGAAACCGAGAAATGTAACATGTTTTCTTTTGGAGTTGAGAAGAATAGCATGGCCCCTGCATTAGGATCCAATCTTTTGCAGCATGGCCTTTCCTGCCAAGGATGACACGCACAGTTCTTGGCGTACCGACTTTCATGGCTCAAGAAAATAGGAGCGGTTTGCTCGCAGAACGGACCTGTGCATCCACAGTATCAAATTAACATTGCGCTACGTAACCTGCATACATACACCATGACAGTCCATTACCACTACCACGAGCATGATCATGACCATTACATTTAACATTACGTTACATTAGATTGCACTATGTAATTACATTGCGCATCATTGCGCTATATTGCATTACATTGCATTATAGCATACCGCGTGTGATGTGTAAGTGAAATGCATGACATGCAGTACATAAGTTGACATCCACGACATGCATTACATACATTGCATGCATTGCGCGCATTGCTTGCATGTCATCCACTGCATGAACTACAAGTATATACATGCGTTACATCAATGACATACATGACTTAGCTTTTTTTCAGTTTCGTCAAAGGTGTTTTTAAAGCCTCTTCTAGGCAAAAAGTGAACGTAGGAGGTACGAGTGCAAATGAACGTGGTGACGGACATGCGTACGACCCAGACGTCACGCGTCCATTACAAACATGACAAATATAACAAACATGGCATACATGACATACATTAATAAAGGTGATAAAGCACAGTAGAAAATATAGAAGAATACAATACATACAATACAAAAAAAAACACAACAGTTCAACACGAGTTAATATATCGACTTTAGCAAACAGTACAACACAAAATAGCACAGTACAGCACAATATAGCACATGTGCACCCACACACCCCATACATTCACGCAACACATGCACACATGCATACATGCATCCATCCATCCGTATGTACATACGAAACATTTGTACATTCATACATCCGTGCATCCATACATCTGTACATCCGTACATACTTTACATACAGTACATGCACTACATACATTACATACACTACACACATTGCATACACTACATACATTGCATACACTACATACATTACATCCATTGCATCCACTTGAGGGCCAGGGGTAAGTACACCCGCAAACTCATCTGTATTAAGGGATATTATGTACAAAACAGGGCTTTCCACGTCTTGGTATAGAATGAACGGGAGAGATTGAAGGGTGATCAAAGTCACATATGAAGAGAACATGGTTGTATATCACGCGCGTGAACTTACTGAGATAACTCCCACTCAGTCGCGTGGTGGTCACTAAAGACAGGAAGAAAGATTCAAGGGTCCACCTTCAGCATCGGAGTGAACCTTTCAAGGCTTAGAAGTTGCAGAAGAAGATGTTGGAAGCGTGGCAAGGTAGGATGTCATGAGGACAAAAAGCGGAAGCATGCCAGTGCAACTGTTCCTGAAGGATCTTTGCAAACTTATCTTCATGAAGGAATATTGTGTCCAACACAAGCTTGCCGTTGTGAGAACTGCCTCGAAACTACATGTCAAGGTTCAAAATGAAAATGAAGCTCCGTTTTAGGGGGCTAGCCATGAACATGCCAATAGTGAGCAAGGCTGCACCAGCTTGAAGCATGCGCTGTTGACGACGCCTGAGGATGCGGATGCTGCCGGTTTTGCTGCCGGTGGCGACACCGCCAAACTGCTGGTGAACCGGCCAGGGGCGGGGGGGGGTAGTTGACTATGAAGTTTCATGCGATTGGAGATTCCAGCCCCCCAATACCTTGCTAAAGCAAGAGGGACTTCAGCTAGCAGAAGCTAGCTTTCGTGATTACACCCATTATATCCATCCAACCATCCATCCAGCCATAGCTACCTACCTTCCTACCTACCTGCCTGCCTGCCTACCTGCACGTATGTACGTACATTCACTCCGTTACATTAATTACATCGCATCACATCACATCACAGTACAGCATTACATTACATTACATTACATCACATCACATAACATGACAGGCATACATATACATATACACACCAAAATAAATAAATATATATATATATAATACTAATTTCACGGGCACGAAAGTGTAGTTTCTATCGCCTCCCATCATGCCATATCAAAACAATATGCAGAGCACAGTCATCTATATAAAGATATATAGAGTATAGAGACTAGAACCCAAAAATAGTCGGTCTTGAGCCACGAGACTCACTCCAGAGCTGTCCCTGAATGCCCAAAACATTGGCCCTGCCAGCCCTGATGGGGGTATCGTAGACCCGAGACAATGGTGTAAAGCAGCAAATTGCATCAAACCTGTCACAGATTTGCTCACAGAGTTCAGACATGTTGTGACTCAACCCCCAGCACATTATATTTGGAATCGTCGCTTTTGAAAGGCCTGTATCGGACGGTGTTCCTGCAATATTTTAAACATTTTATTGCTAATTAGCATCAGACCTCTAGATTATCTACAAGATTCTAAACACAGGTACAAAGTATACAAAATTACAAACTATGAAGCACCAAGGCACTCGGCATGCTTTTGATCTTGCCACCTGTCGAAGTAGGCATGCTCTGATGGAGCCAGTACAACTGAGTGACCTCACAATTCGCACTCGTTTGAACTGACGAGAGTTCGAATGCGTGGGGACTTGAACACAGAGGCGACAGGCACCTCAAGACGCAGCCAGCTGCAAGAGGACGCAAGCAAGTTGGAAGCTGGCAGTGCAGGAAGGCAAGCAAATTGAAGGTTTGAAGCTAGTTTCAAAACAGTTCAGAAAGCAACGTTTGGCAGTATGGGCAGCTGGCCGCGGGCCCGATCCGTCCTTCACTGCCATGGTGTTTTAGCCCTGCGGGACGGTCCTTTGACTGGAGCTGTGCAGGAGGAAAGCCAGCTGCAAGAAGACGCAAGCAAGTTGGAAGCTGGCAGTGCAGGAAGGCAAGCAAATTCAATTGTTGTTGAGAGTTTGAAGCTAGTTTCTAGGCAGTTAAGACAGCAACCTTTGGCACTATGGGCTGCCGGCCGCGGGTTCGATCCGTTCTTCACTGCCATTGTGTTTTAGCCCTGCGGGACGGTCCTTTGACCAGAGCTGTGCAGGAGGAAAGCCAGCTAAAAGAGGATGCTCCAACATTCAAAATGGATCAAAATGGCGGAACTGAGGTTTCAAGTTTGTTAGAACACATTATACACGTTCTGTCTGGTTGCAAAGTGTACGTTCTCAGCTTGACATCTAGGGCAAAGGTGTTGAAGCCATGTCCCATGACCAGCCCAACCCCCAGAATAGGTGTGGTACACCAGCTGCTAAACCCAAATACAGGCCTCTTGCCGCCGCTTTGTCTCCTTGCTTGCCCAAGCCCACAAATTCTCTCCAAATCATCACCTTACGTAGGCGAAACATGTAAAAGGCCTGGTTCCTAAAAAACTTGATGAGTTAACACGAAAGACAGTGCCAGTAAGCTACCAGTCATATGTGCTGCAATCATGCAGGAACGCAGGTGGAAAAGGGTGAACAGGGTGAACAAATGTGAACAGGGTGAACAGGGTAAAAAAGGTGCAAATGGTGCCGCTGTGCAGCGATTCTCCATCTTTCCAAAGCAAACTGAGTGCGCGTTTCTAGTAACGTATGAATGTATGTACGCTTCACCTTTGCGACTCTTGCCGTGGTACTGTGTGTTGTTTCTCTCAAACAGGGTATGGACGATTATGTAGGCTGGCGTTCAATGAAGTGGATCCAAAGCAGATGTTGTTTTCAGTCGGAGGCAAGCTGCCAAAACTTCAAAATCTTGGCCAGGTCGCGACCGTGCCTTGTGGGAGGCTGTTGGCACTGTCCAAAGCATCATCCCAAACCACGGCGTTGCGATGCAAATCATGGAGATGATTGGATGCTTTCTCAAGCATCATGCCTGAGCATCAACCAAGCCGCATCAACCGGGCCTCCCAACAGCTCTGATGAACATATCTCTTGTACTGCACCTGCCACGGAAAATGCATCTTTGCAGATCCTCTTCAATTGTCCCACGCCTGCCATCGTTTTTGGAAATGCCACAAAATCCCCACGTTTTGCTCACTTTTGACAACGTGCGCAATCCCTTGCGCCTGCCACGCAAAACGACTCTGAACGTCCAAAAGTGCTCCGAACCCCCTCAGTTTTTTGCGATTTTGACTTCGAAATGTGCTTCGCGCCACAACGGGGTGCAGGTCCGAAGCTGAGGTGCTTTATACATTTTGACTTCGAAATGTGCTTCGCGCCACAACGGCGTACATTTTTTCGACATCTCAACTTCTAAAGTGCTCCGAAGCTGACGTGCTTTGTACATTTTAACTTGGGAATGCGCTTCGCGCCACAACGGCGTGCGCTTTTTCGACATCTCAAAAAGTGCTCCGAACATCTCCGAACGTGCGGTGGTTTTAGCTTTTCACTTGCAAATGTGCTTCGCGCCACAACAGCGTTCAATTTTTCATCTCTCATCTGGCCAGCTGGCTCCGCACCCGCCGCTTTAGCGAGCCTACTTTTCGACCCTCCGGAGCCACGAATCATCGGAAAAACACATTGTTTCGCGGCTTTCCTACCTCTTCGCGCACCTGCCTGTATCTTCTTTCTTTTCTGAGACTTTCTCTTTTTTGATTTTCTTTCTTCTTCTCTTCTCTTCTCTTCTCTGACTCTTCCCATCTCTGCTTTTCATCTGTCCATATTGTCGGAAGTTTGACTTCTAAACTTCCTTCGATCATATATATATCTGTTTGATCATCTGTTTGATCGTCTATGATCACTAGATATCACTAGAGAGTCCTACGTGGCTGATCGCAGGATTCTCGACATATGCTGCTTCTGCTTTTGTCGGGCACATTGTTCCATACTGGCCTAGGATTCATGTCAAACCACCTGGCAGAAAGGTAGCAATAAGGGCCTCGCTCAAGATACTCATCGTATGTTGCGTGGAAGGAGAATCAGGTATTGAATCGTTCACATTCGACTCGCCGACCGCACACAGTGCAACCAATATAGGAATTGGCGGCTCATGCGCGTGCTGCATGTCCCGGGCTTTTGGGAACCCCGACTGCTTTTGGGAGCCCCGAATGCTTTTGATAGCTTATGACTTATGACATCTGTTTACTTTTCCTGACTTTTCCATGTCCCACATTCTGCCAAAACACCCTCCAGATGGGACAAGCCCACATTGTTCTCGCGTGCCACTTCAAGGGCTACAGGTGACTTGGACCACTGAGAAGTTGAAACTTCGTCGCCGCCAATGTGAATGTAGGAGGACTTCTCGAAGAGCCTTGCCATTTCGCTGAGCACGTCCTGGTATGAAACACCACAAAGCACTGAGAGCATCAAATCCAGACTCATCGGAGATCATCTGGAATCTTATCGGAATGCATCCTACAGAAATGTGTGTGTGCGTGTGTGCGCTTGTAGTATTACTTACAGTTAGTTACAGACTTGACGTTTGCTATGTGCCTGCGCACGCGGTCAGCTAATCCGCCAGCAACCTTCGCCAAAGGGACAGTATTTCATTTGATGCGTGCAAGTTGTGATTTCAACCTTAAGTTTAAGGCTTGAACCATGCACTTCATTAGCATTAGCACCACGCAGCATCAATAGTAGTGAAGTGAAGAAAGGATGATGCGCTCAATTGTTGCACATGCGATGGAGTTTTGCTATTTTTGCTGCCTTGTCTGGCTACCTTGGTTTCAGCTGGTTTCAGCCTCTGGTTTCCGCTGGTTTCGGCTTCTGTGCAAGCAGAATCTTTTTGGGCGGTTGAGCCGTCAGTGCGGCTTTCAAATTTGCCCTGCCAAGATTGCTACTAGTAGGACCTGAACTCCCAAAGACGCAGAGCGATGTAGAGTGGCCATTTCACTGACAGGGTGGTAGCGGTGGTGGCAGTGGTGGCAGGGGTAACTAGCGTGGTATGCGGGTTTTCTCAACTGTTTTCAGTTGAGAGTTTTGGTTGAAGTCCTATTGGGCCCTTTGGGATGCTTTGCGGAATTCTATGCACTTGTCTAGGCTGCCAGTGTAGTTCCCACATTTCCAAATTCCTTGCAGTCTCCGAAGCAAATGAAAGAATCACTGGCGCAGGCTACCCGTCGGATGGGACATGATTTCATCCAAATGAGACAGCATTGGCAAGGAAGGCCATGCCCTCTGAAAGCTTGAAGCATCCGGCCTGTCCTTGGTGAAGTTTACAGACTTCTCGGAGGGAGAGAGAGTGTATGGCAAAGCCCCGAAAGACGTAGCAACTTGAGGTTCCCAGTGTTCCGAACTATCGAAATTTCCCAATTCCGGATACGAGGCAATTGCAGCTTGCGAGTGCCCAGGCAAATCAAACTCCGGAACTACCTCAGCTAAGACAAGAGCACTGTCAAGATACGCAATATAGACGAATGCAAGGCCTGCAATGCCAAACAAAGGCATCCAAATCTAAGCCGGAGTGCGAAAATGACAAACACGCATGCAACAAGAGTCTAGATGATCAAAGGAAATTTAGATTTAGTTTAGACACTTCCGAGTTACGGGCGATCGTCATGGTTAGCATTCCCACCCTATGTCAACAAGATAATTACACCATCATGTCAACCACCCATCATCAAGATCAAGTAGTTGGGAAATGCAACAGTTCGGAAACGTGTGAATGCACGCGGGTGAAAACACTTTCGAAACCCTGAATCTTTGGGGTAATGTAATGTGGCTGTTGGGGTCGCCGGAGTAGGGTTATGTTTCCGCGGTTGCCGGCCTCGATCTGGGTGAGTTGTTGACACAATGTGTAGGGGAGAGCTCGATTTGCATTTAAAAAGTTCAAGAATTGTCCTGCAAAGCACTTTTGGAAAATGAGGGTAGCAAAAAGCGCACGTGACTGTAGCCAGAGCTTGGTTTCACAAAAAAAAACGAAAAAAACATCAAGGGATCGGAGCACTTTTAGAAAATGAGGTCGGCAAAATGTGCACCAAACTGTAGCGAGAAGCTCACAAAAAAACTTAAAAAGCTGACTGGATCGCAGTAGCGCGGAATCGTCCCCATTGTCAGCGCTGCGCGAACGTTGGTCGATTTGTTGCGACACTCCTGCTATGAGGCTTTGCAACCGGCTGTGACACAACGCATTGGCAGGGCTGCGCGCAGCAAAGCATAAGCAATGTTTCGACGCTCCTGGTGCCTGGCATGTGGGATTGCAGCTGGAGGTTGCTAAACGCATTGTAACAGCTGCGCGAAAGGTTCTTCACCAGCGACAGAATTGCAGCTGGACGTTGCAAAACGCACTGTACTGGCTGCGCGCAGAGAAGAATTGGGTTGCAGAAGCTACAGAGGTAGCTGGGAGGCAGGTAGCCCAAATAAGTGGCTGCTCAGAGAAGAGGTAGCGGAGGGAAGAGGTGCCTCAGCGAAGAGGTCGCTCAGTGAAGAAGTAGCTCAA